AAATCTACCTTGCCGGTTTGAGCCCTTTTGGGCCCTTTTTTCGGGCCGCGCGTTAACACAGGCGTTGCCACTCTTTAGTAATCTCTCCTCGGTGGTAAAAGTAAACAGAGATAACAATAAAAAAACAAGAAGGAATATAAAGATAGATAAGATTCCAGGCTCGCGTGTAGTAAGTATTTTCAAGAATGTGGGGATGACACTATTGTATAAAAAGAAGTAATAACAGGTTTGCGCATCTATGAATTAATGTCAGAAGAGCGCTTGTGCAGTAATATACGTATCGTCCGTACATATGCTCACTTAATTTAAATTCGTGACGCAAATGTCACAGGTGCATAATCATCGAAGTGCATTTAGCCTGATTGGACGTTAATGCTTTTAATAACGAGAGTAATATTCATTGCGGGTTTGCTCGACGTGAAGTTCAATTACCCTGATACTTTATCAGGTACGTTCCTCTCGCGTTATCTACCGTTTATAAGGTAGGTTATAATTTCTTAAGTGTACCGGATGTAGGTCTGTTTATCAGGTTCGGTCATTTTACATAATCTTAATTGACTTTTCCTCGATAAAACGAGATCATCATCGATTTATAATAATTATTATATGAAAATGAATCGTGAAGTGGTCGCTTCTATGATAGAAGCTGATAAAACAGAATGCCTTGAAGTTTTCTGGTTTATCTGCCAACCGGATTGGTTATTCGGTACGGTCCAGAGCTGTGGGTGGCAGGTAAGACAAATAGCTGCTGGGACAGGAGTGCGGGAAGTGGGGGGGAGACGCGCGGTCGTAAACACTCCCGCAAGGAGTACGCACATAGTCTCGCGAGGACTCGTGCCGCGATTACGTCGAAGTACGCGGGTTTGTTAAACGCGTGCTAATCTGATCAACCGGAACGGAACGTTCCACGATAACCTCTTGCATTCGATCGACTCGCGCTATCAATCCGGTTGCGATCGCGATCGATTATTGTTGGACTCGTCGCCGTGAAATTCGCGCGTTGGTGCTTTTGAATGTGCCGGTGAAACAGGACCCCTTTGTGCGATGCGTCGTCCCCTGATTCGGCATCTATCCGAGGGTGGTTGCGGTCCAGGTGAGAATGCCGGTCCCAGGAGACAGCAGTCCATGAAAGAGGACGACCGATCCAGTTACACCTGGAACTGTCGCGAGTACGGGCATCATCTGTCATCCTGCGACCTCCTCAAGGTGCCCACGGCCCTCGGTTGTCGCGGACAGACGCAATCGCCGCATCAACGGATCACGATCCACAGGTAGGTCGATTCAGTGATCGCCAGGTCACCTGTTTGTCAGGGGTAGCTACAGCCAAGGGATTGTCCGGGTCAGTGCATCCTCCGGGAGATGATTTCTGGGTAACCGCGCGAGCGCATTACGTTCGAACGTATAATCGTGGTCAAGGAAGCAATGCATATTGTTCCAAGAACTTCCTCGGGACGAATTATCTCGTAATTAAATCGCAGATTTTTTTATTCGATATGCAGAAATTATAAGTGGTCTGTTTTCTTGGATGTAGAATATGATTGCTCTCGACTTCAAACGATAAATCGCATCGTCAATATATTATGTATGCGAATATCATCGGAACCAGTCGTTTCCCGAGATGTATAGATGACGTTCGAATTATGAGTATAAAAACTCTAGTCCCTTGGCTGTATTTTTGTGCATGGATTAAGGTTATGCCCTATATTTCGTGACCCAAATCCTCCTGGGTCACATTCGTTGGAAGGTACATTTCCTAAATGACGCGCGCTACTTGAGAGGTGTATGTATATCACTTGTCGAGAGAAATATGTAGTCCGATGGAATCGAGAATTGTTTCAGAAAAATAATAGAGGTTCGCGAGTACGTGATCGGTAGTGCATGCTGCAAAAAGTTTATCGGTTGATCGTGGCCTAGGACGTGAACGTAACCGACGAACAATTTTTCGGTAAAATAGGTCGAGCAATGCGTTTACGATGGAAATCCGTTTTTCCGACTTTGAGACGTACGTAACCGAGGTCGAAAATTCGCGCTGGCTGATATCGAGAACTCGGGTGGGTGAAACGAACCAGAATTTATATTTCATCATATCTACCTAGTCTGTGTAACCTATCTGTGTATAGTTGCAAGCTCTAAATTTTACCTCCCAGCGTGAAGCTGATGTTACTCGCGATGCTATTTTCGTACTACGAGAAATTTTTATTAAAACGTACAATCGAGGAGCAGACGGCAATTGTATGAATGAATAAAATCAGAATTTGTCAGTGAAATTGCCACGAATATATTCATAGTAGTATTAGACGTATTTTTTAAAACTGAGGGAAGAAACAGTTCTCAGTTCTAAAAATTTTTTATTTCGATTTTCAGATACTTAATTCTATTTCTTGTAGTATAACGATTTCTCATACGTAGGTAAAACTCGCCATTCATCTTCAACTCCAATAGCTCCAGCGTTCACTGGCTGTTATTAGAATTTCCGGGCCATATCACGATTTAATTAAAGGAGTAGAACGTCCAGGAGAGTAACGTTCCTTACATTCGAAGATACGCGAAGCTGTTTCTGCTTGATCGATTTCCTTATTTCAAATTTCGTAGAAACTGTATTAAGTTCACGTGAAACTACGAGGTTTAAATTGTTCATTAAATCATTTTGCCATGTTCGCATGTTTTATTTTACATACTGGAAAATTAGACGACTATTACTTTAAATGATACGAAATTGAACGGAAAAGACGAGCGAAAGTAAAAGTTACTCCTATATCTGTTTTGGATAACCTGTTGAATAAGTTATAAGGCAGAAGCAATTTAGGCGGCAGGATTTTATTACATTCAACTGGCTAAAAATAGTTAACTTAAAAGAAAATTTAATTTCCTTCCACGAGCAGGAAAGAATACGTAGTGTTCGTTTTGATTTATTGAAATAGCATTCGATTTTACTTATACATCCCGCGTCAACGCATCGAATATATTTGCTTATTGATAACAGTTTTACCAGGGGAACGCACCGTGAATTCATTTATTAAAACTCAGATAAAAAGAGAGTGTAAGGCCGGTACGATTGGTAAATTCTCGTTTTATTGATTTTAGGCAGAGTGAAATGACACTTTTTATCTGAGACACTGATAATAACGTGGAATCTCGTTTTTGACTGTGAAGCTCGAATAAATCGAGAATGTCTGTGTAAAGTGAATTAATTCTAACGTGTGAAATGAATTTACTTTCTCATATCTGAATTACTCATCCAAGAGATGAATCTAGATGTAAGTGGATTTGAAACCGTGCAGGTAATATCAACCAGCTTCATAGCTACTAAAATGATGAATAAATGACTTTTAATGAAACAGCTTTAATAAAAGCTGGATGATGGATATGACTTGACCCTATTCGGTCATGAAATAATTTGATGGAAGTATTCGAAAGTTAGCTGCCAAGCGCAGAGCCGCGTTTCGTCGGATCGAGTGTTTGACGATCGGTCTCGTTGTAACGGCCGACGTGTGCGCACGCTATTTATTCTACCGTACACAGAGCTGTATTTTACATAATCGAGGGGTCACGTATGCGTTGCAAAATGTTGGGGACGGGCGTACCGTAAAGGACATCCTCATTTTCCACCCGCGATAGTCGATCGGACGAGCGGAGATGATCGGTTGAGTAATAAATTAGTTTTGCCAGGAGGTTAACACGGGAGATTATGCAATCGGTGGGCGATAACTGGGGCAATCTGATGGTAGAACGGAGATGACCTTGTCTACGGCGCGGAAATGTCGGAAACGGAAGACGGAACCGAACGACTTGTTTGTTTTCCAAGCATCTTTATCTTTCTCTTTCTCTTTTATAGCAGCTACCCTTCTAAAACATTTGTGTTAAATGACGCAATCGTGAATCGCGCGGCTGTAAATGAGTTACAGACGGCTTGTAAACAAGGTTTCGCTCGACATTGGGTCGGAATAGTTGAATTAAAATCGCTTGGAGATCGAACGAAGTTTCAAGCTGTTTTCCAATTTCTTTCCTCGAGAGTTTATAGCGCGCGATGCAATTTATTATAGTTGATAAATCGATCTCTGCCATGTGCAGTGTTTCATTACAGCTCTTCGTTAATATTTAATATCGAGTCGTTGACGATGACTCGACGATTCTTTTTACTACCGTTAATGTACATACAATTATATTATATGTAAAATGTATTCAGCCGGTAAATCTGACTCTGCGAACTTTGAACTGGGTCAAAGAGTCAGACTGTTGAGATCGCCGCGTTTAGTCGTTCGTTACGGTCAAGAAGTAACTCGAAGTCCGATTCGCGTCACGTATTTTCGCC